CAGTCTTTTCCTTTCATACTCTCATGCTGCAGCACCTCTCATACTTTCCTCACTATAGTTGAATCCTTCAACCAGCATTCTTGCCTGAATTCTTAGTGTTCCAAGGAAAATATTTGCAAGAGTTTTCAAGGTTCTGCTATTACCCTTTTCTTTGAAGATTGGAATAGGGCTGTGATTGTGCCTATATTGTAATATAGATAAAAATTTCATAGACTTACCCAAGTAGTCAGATTAGTAAAATAATTTAATTTGAAAGTTATTAGGAAACAAGAATCATATTGAATTATTTTATAGGAAATATTAATCTTAATTAAATATCGTCTAGAACAGTGATTCTCAACCACTGTGCCACTGCATTTTAGTGTGCCGTGGCACAGTGGTTGAAGTGTGCCGCCACTGCAAATATCCATACATAAGCAATGTCAGACAAGTAGTACAATCAGTTCTATCTTCCTAGGGTGCATTTGGAAATTGTAACTGGTGTTACTGGTAACTGCTGGTAGTTACCAAGATGTTTAGAAAATGTGACCTAAATAACCAACTGCATTTAAAAATCACTGTTATGATGTCACCAGTTGTCCTGTGGTACAGTACTTACTGAAGTAACCGTGTGTGCTGCCAAATTTTTAAATTATTAAAAGTGTACCATGACGATAAAAATGTTGAGAATCACTGGTCTAGAACATCATTTTACGATCTAAACTATACTACTTACCAAATAAAATACTTTAAATTTTCTACTGTGGGCTATTAAAATAATTGGCATTATTTATATGCAGGCACTTGTTTATATTCAAACATAATTTGTTCTTGAAACATTTGTGTCTTGAATATTCATAAGTAGATAGTTAGTTTTTCCATAAAATTCAATGTTATAAACAATAAATTGATTCCAGCTCCCATTCAAAAACATTAAATTAATTTACATAAGTTATTCAGAAATATCCAGTATTTTGTGATATTAATAAAATGAGTCTTGTAACAATAGTTTAGGTTGATAAAATTTAAAACTTATGTTTTTATTTATATAAAACTAAATTATTATTTGATATATAATTCTTGTTAATGTCACAGATACAAATTGTGCAAAGTGGAACTGGCATCCAAGCAGTAGCTACAACTCCTATGACAGTTCAAACAGCTTCGCCTACATTTTCTGGCCCATCAATTGTACAAGTACAAACGGTAAATGGAAATTAGCTGTAACTTAAATTAAAATGAATATAAAATGTGTTTTATTAAATGTTATAAAAGTAATATTATTTTTAAATTATAAAATGTGTAATAGTTGGATAAGCTCATGCATTGAAATTATTGCCTGAGTTTATCTGTGCAAAGGAATTTGTATTAAAAAAACTCTTTGTTTATTGAATTGAGTGTTAAGTGATCCATTATATCTTTTGTATCAAACTCATTCAAAAACTGTTCCCAACAAATGCATATGTTGGGAACAGTATTGTCACCGATCCATGTGTAAAAAGCAGGATTTCCGAGCAATGTCAATTCGTATGTGGGAACGTTGGACACAAAGTCAACTCTCCAGTTACAAACAATTAACTTGGTTTATTGTAACTAAAAAAATAAGCTTACAGCTACAACAATGAACAAACTATATTCCAATTTGCTTCTTCTCTCAAAGGGTAAATGTCCTACAGTGACTATCCTTTCGGGTTCTGCTTGGAAAGATGAAGGCCCCTGGGTGTTGAAGGGAGAAAGTCCATCACAAAGTTGCGATGTAATCCAGATCGACGTTGGGATGCAGAGGAAATTTCCTTTTGAGCATAATAGGAAAACTGGGAGAGAAGCTCTCCATTTCCTTGGAATTGTCCATTTTATAACTTTTTCGGGTCCCAGATCAACTATTTCAATTGGTTGTTTTTACTCATCTCTGCTTTCTAATTGGTCATCGCTTGTTACTAACGTAAGTGTAACACAATTGGAACCTAGATCACAGGATGAGTCAAAATTGTCTGTCAATTTGATCCCAATCAAAGATGGTTGATCTTAGGTTATATTCTATTGTTTTAACACGAGAAGTATTTTTTTTCTTATAATTCCTTTTAAACATATCTTTTATGGACATGAAATTTCTGTCTATTTATTTGAGTGAACAATTTTACATTAAAAAAAATCTCTTCTTTTAATTTTTTTACAAGAAAACATAAAATTTTGTTTTGTGTGTGGTTCGAATCCACTTCCAGAGCCTCACACATACAAGTATATTTCAGTTATAAACATTGTATGAGGTTGCTGATACTGATTTTATCTGCACCCTGTCTTGTTTGTTTAATAGATAGGTTTCTCTCTCTTTTTCTTCAGGATAATGTGAGAAATGAAATTATATATGGGTGATGGTGACAGACACTGAGACAAGGACTTGTTTACAATTAATTCCCATTTTATTTAAAAAAATAAAGACTACAAATATCTCTAAAATGTCTCTTTTCAAACTCCAGATTTTCACATTAAGAAAACATCAAAAATGCTATAAAATAATAAAATAAGTTTTCTTTATTGATATATATATTCCTTATATAATTCTCATTTTTCAAATTGACACATAAATGTGGTTTGACCAATATTTTGGAGTGTGCTGCCATATATCCATAACTATATCTTGTGAATCTTATGAAAATCAGTTTTTTTCAGAAAAATCTCATTATCAACTAAAATTTTGTTATAATAAAACACATTATTTTTTACATGTTTTTAATATAAATATTAATATTGCATTAATATAATGAGAATGTATTAACAGAAATTTAAGTACAGTATGTGTAAATTTTTATATGTACTTAAAATAAACCAATATTTCAAAAATATTGCAATATTTTTAGTCAAATTCAACTCCATCAATATCAAAAAGATACAAGATGCTAAAATTCTAGAAAACAATTTTTAATACTATGAAATGTTTTTTGAGATTAAACTCATCTCATCATCTGATGATGATAAAAATAACTGTGATATAAAATATTTGTAATTCTTTTGGTAAGTATGTTATATCACACTTATTACTTTTCCAGGAAAATATGATGATTGGTCAAAAAATGACACCTTACGATTTTTACATTTTTGGACTTGGAACCTTGAAATGTCAAGAAATGCAAAAAAATTCAGGAATTTTTTTCTGTATGTATGGATGTTAGCGTATGTGTTTGTGTAGGGCACATGTTTGTTCACCCTCTTTGAATCTTAAGTCGTGTGCTTTTTGTTGTAAATTTCTGAAATTTTGCAGGGGAATTGATGCTATTAAATTTTGTGATTAAAGGTGTTTAAATTTTAGATTTTTATTTAAAATTGATCAACTGTAATTAATTTCATTATATATTTAAATTATTATATGCTAAAAATATTAGTACATTTAAATGTGTGTGTTGTGAATAAATAATTACATATATCTTTTAACATATTTGAGATCTCTTGTTAATAGAATTAACACAATTTAAAATCTGTATAGGTTGCTAGTGATACTTCTCAACAACAAACATCAGGACAAGGTCAAGCAACTCCTTCACAGGTTCAAGTTCAAGTTCAGCCTACAGTACAGGTAAAATAAATAATTTTCTAAATCAGAATATTTATGTTAACTTAAATTATTAAGCATGCTTTAATCATATAATTAATAGATGTACTTATGTAATTTACCTTTTTCTAATTAATTTTATTTGTTGCTTTTTATGTATAATTTAAAGTACTTTTATTAGTGTTAATTTCAATATCTATAAGAGTATAAGTCAGTAACAAATATCATTTAAATTTAAAAGCTTAAAGAATTCAAATGGCTTTTAAAAGTACTATGTACTGTACTTGTGCAAACTTTGATTTTCTGACTGTTAACATATCAGTTGAATCTGATTACATAAAAGTTTTGGATAATTTAAAGCTGTTATTATTTTCATTGAAATTCATATTTAAAGGTAATTTGAATAGTTCATTCTAAGTTTGCTTATTGGTAAGTCATTCTAAGCTAATTGGAAAGAGGGAAAAGTGTAATTAACTAATTGATAGAATGTACTGTACATGCTTTGAGGATTCCCTATAATGTCTTGTGTAAATTTGAATGTGTTTTCCCATAATTTGGAGAACTATAATATGTGGGAAAAGTGTGTTTCACAGTTTCAGTGATCTTTATTTTCTTTTCAGTTTTTGGATGGGCGGACACGCAATTCCAAACGATTGTTTCTCTCCGGATTTCACCAAACTATAAATAAATAAATGATGATTACACACATAATATAAATTTTAAATATATCATTTTTAACATTAGGCTGCAACTGCTTCTCAAGTATTGCAACTTCAACAACCTGTACAAGCTGGACAAGTTCAACAAGCTGGTGGTATACAAATTGTACAACAAGTTATTAATAGTAATGGAGAAATTCAACAAATACCAGTGAGTGTTCTTTACTTGTCATTATTTGTATTCATTAATTTAAAACATTCTTTAACATTTGAGTATATAGTATTACTTTGTCATTACAAATAAAGATCATTGGTAATATTTTACATAAGATGCTTTTGATATTTTAGAATTTCCATAGTAACTATAACTAAATGGATAGTTCCTATAAAAATGGAAATGATATATATAAACAAATTTCATTGTAAATATGAGTTTTCTTCCTAAAAGTACATTTAATCAAATATTTCCATGTTGATAAGTTGTATAATGAAATTTATTTTATTATATACAGTATACAGTAGAACTTGGTTAAGAAGTTTCCCACTTAGCTTTTCTTTCAATAATCTATATTTATCAGGTTGTAAAGGTGAATTTTTGACATTTTGAAAAACTTTATTGACAATTAATTCACCAATGATTACAATTCAGTTGATTGATGACTATTACCTACAAGGTAATCATCATCAATGTCAATCACATTTTGCCACCTTTGCTGTAAACTTTCAATCCCATGAGCATAGAATGACTGGAGTTTGAAGAAAGTCTCAAGCATCATTTTCACATGGGTATTATTATTGAACTGTACAGTACATTGAAAATATGGTTCTGCAGGGTGCAAAATAGATGGTAGTCAGTTGATGCCAAATCTGAGATGTAAGGTGAATAAAGCAGCCCAGCCCAGACTGGCTACTCTTTAACGTCGTCTTTGCTCTATGTGCTAGTGTGTTATTGTGATGGCATCAGACTTTGTCAGTTTTTAGAATGTATGGGAATGCTCAAGTTATGCTAATTCTGTAGTGGTCAACTATGGATTATCATCTATCAGTTGCAGTTGCATCTTTGATGACTGATTCCACCATTGTGAAAACAGTCTAGTTGGGGATCTTAAAAGCGAGAAATCTACATCCTTGAATTTCTTGAACCAATTGTAGCAGGTCTGCCTGTTGATTGTGTCCAAATGCCTTGCAGATGAGATCATGAACCTTCATTGCATTGTGACCAGTTTTGAAGTAATAGAGCAACAGCACACAAATGTATTCTTTCAAAAGTTTCATACTGTCAGTCTTTATTGATATGCTTATTTCCAATGAAATATGTGATGAAATGCCTCCTGGTTAGTCTATTTATGTACCCACATTGAATATTCTAGAATATTTTTTTTCCAATTGTTTCTAGAAAAAAAATTGAAATGTCTGAATTTTACCTTTACAACTTGATATATTATTTATTTAACAATGAATTAGACTTAGGCAAATATCTAAATAAATAAAATAAATAGATACTGTATAATATAATTTGCTTTGTCATGTAAACAAAAATACATTTTATAATTCTCATGAACAGAATCACAGATTTTCAGTGATTTTTAGTATGGTATTTGAAGACTTACAGTATCACTTATGTATTGATAGTGATTGTCAGAACTTACTTTTTGTTGCAACCATTCTTGCCAGATAACTGTTTAAGAAACTGGCTCCATCAAACACAGATTTTTACAAAGTCCTGTGCACAATGACATGAAATTTCCTAATATTACTGCATATAGAAAAAGAAAAAAATATATATTTTTGATAGGATCCTGTTGAGAAACCTTTTATTGCAAACAAATCCATTTTCTGGTTGTGAACAAGAATTTCCATCTTAAAATGAGACATTTTAAACATCTCTTAAGGGGGAAAAAATTGAGACTTTTGGAATTGAACTTCTTACTTAGATTTCAGTCTGCACTAGTTTTACTACATAAAGTGGAAATCTTCCAGAGGTAGAAAATTCTAATATTTTTCAGTAAAATGATTACAATAGAACTCTAAGAAGTTCTACATTAGAACAAAAGTATGGACACATTCACAGAACATTAATATAACAAATGTAATGTTTTTTTTTTTTTAATTCTCTGGAACCTATGAGATATGAATGGAATTGTGCTATTGCAAACGAAATATGGAAAAGTATGGATGCAAAAGCTGGAAACTTGTGTTCTGTATTTTCCATTACAATAAAATTAATAAGAAAATAAACTTACTATATTTGCAGTAACCTTTGTGTGAAAGAGGAATACTATACTAAAAACTAAATTTGTTTGTCAATCTCATTTGTCATAAAACAGAGTTAAAGAGAAGAAATCACATTTTGATACTAACCACACCCACACTCTGAGGTTATGTATCCTGTTCATTTATTAAACAAATGAAGTTTTGTAAAAAAAATTTTATATTGTATTATTTCCTATTATGTGATAATTGTTCCAGATAATTTTGATAGATAAACCAATCTTGGGGTTAGGTTTATCTCGTTATACTTGTTTTTCTGTCTGAGGCTATTGATCTTAGATTATCATTTTCTAAAGTAGAAAAAGCTCAATGATTTTACATATAAATGAGATGTTTGCTTAAACATATGTAAAGGATAAAGAAACATTTTCAGAGCATTTGTATAGACAGTGGAAAACAATAGTAAAGACTACATCTGGTCAAAGGTGAAAAACCTGCAAGACACAGAAAAATAGAGCGTATTCTGCCAAGTTCTGGCCTTTACAGGTTTTACTGCATGAGAAAACTAATTGTAATGAGGGAACTTCTGAACAAAGTTCTTCTGTATATTGTTTTAAAATGGATAAAAAGTATTGCCTGAGGAAGAATTATTAATGTTTGGATAAAAAAATCACTATATTTCTAAAAATTAAAATAGAATATAGTCCTGAGTTAAAATACTCTATTGCATTGATTCCGAGGTAACAAATTACAGCTTGAAAGTTAATCCACCAAAAAAAAAGTTTATTTTTCTTTTTTGCATTTTGCCTTCTTCGGCCTCATCAGTGGATAACAATACTTGTTTTACATTGGTGCTTTTATACCATACAAAGCTACCTCAGTGTGCATCTAATGTGGGCACTAAAGTGGCTTTTTTAATTATATTCATTACAGAATTTATCAGGACCACAATGGCATCAGCCAAATGATGAAATAATTCACCCAATATATCTGGACAAGTTTGCCCATGAGAAATTGGGGGTTCTAGGTTTGAGTATGGGTCAGAAGCCTCAAAAGTGGCAGGCCTCTGCTTTCAAGTCATCTTGACATTTGTATTGTCAAATGGTTAAATTTAGATCTTATACACTAATTTAATAAAAAAATTTTGAGCTATTAACAGTTGATATGATTTTAGTGTAAACTATAGCTTAAAAATTATTCTTAGGTTACATATAATTTCTTTGCTAAATTAAACCTAACTTTTTATATTGTAAAACACTTTTTTGTAGATCCAACTAACACCAAATCAGTTACAATTAATTCGAATGCAAATGCAAGGTCAGAACCAAGGACAGCCCATAATTCTTCAAGCTGCTCCATTATCTCAAGCAGCTGCATCTGCAGTTCAGCAAACTGCTACACAGGTCATTTTTAAAATATGGATTTTATTATGTACAAATTCATTTAATTTCAATATTGAGAAATTTTATTATTTTTTTAAACAGACCGTATATCAGATTCAACAGGTCCCTCAAGCACCTGGTCAAGTTACTGCTACAACTGCCACACCCGTTTTCCTAACTCCAGCTGCTGGGAACACCACAGCTGCTGTGCAAATACAAGCTGCAACTATAGCACAGCAGGAACATCAGGCAACAACAACTGTAGATGATGACCAGCAACAGTCATAGGGTTGATGCTTTGCTCCATCGGCTTTCAAGGACCAATATATCATATAATAAATTTTAGTTTATAGATTCTGATTAGAATATCAATTCATTCTGAGTAGTGACATCTTTCATATTTTGCATTCCATATTCACAGATTTTCATATCATGGATTGTTTGATGTGTGTGTCAGTTGAAGTAAAACTTATATGCAGATTACAATGGTAATGAGTTAAACTAAATTGTCCCTATGAGGGAACTATGTCAATGTGATAATGACATTTTAAATAACACTCAGAAAAATTTAAAACACTTCTTGTTTTTAAATAAATGTTATTTGAATCTCCATTTTTGATTTCAATTTACTCAAACCATGCTTCTTATATTCAAATTACTCATATGATTAATAATTGTTAACACCAATTTTCAAAACATCATCATTGGAATGACTTCTCTCTAAAAGAGAAGTTTATCCATTTTGAAAGCAATGAGAGAGTATAACATGTAAAATGAAAAAAAAAAAAAATGGTACAAACTATTCTGGATCAAATTCTTATTATAGAAAGTTTTAAATATTCTACAGTTTTGTCTCATTCCTAACCAGTCATGGAGACATTACACATCCCTGCCTTATACCCTTCTCAATACTGAACCATTTAGACATTTTGCCAATTATCCACCCCCACACAATCTGTTATTCTTATGCATTGTTTTCATAATCAGTATGATAGTGTGTTAAAACAAGACACTGTATCATATGATTTCTCTGTCTACAAATGCAGTGAACAGCCTTTTCACATATCCATAAGCTTTTTTAAACTAAAAATTTGATTCATGCAGTCTTTTCCTTTCATACTCTCATGCTGCAGCACCTCTCATACTTTCCTCACTATAGTTGAATCCTTCAACCAGCATTCTTGCCTGAATTCTTAGTGTTCCAAGGAAAATATTTGCAAGAGTTTTCAAGGTTCTGCTATTACCCTTTTCTTTGAAGATTGGAATAGGGCTGTGATTGTGCCTATATTGTGGAGCCAAATCATTTTTCCTAACATTACATGCATAAATGGATCTTCCAGTTGATTACATACAGTATATCCCTCCATACGAGCATTTTGGCCACTATCCCATCTATACCTACATACTTGCCTTTTTTTCAGGTTTTTAATAGCATTCATAATCTCTGACAAGAATATGCTCAATCTTCAGCCACATCACTCCATACTTCATCTGCACTTCTGCCAACACTCAATGTATTCATATCATCTGTTACACTCCATATTCTCATCCTACAATAGGTTACCATTTGTATCTCTGACACAAGGTATAACTTTCTTTCAGCATGCATGTTCATTTTCTTCCAGAACAGTTTATTGTAATCTTAAAGTGCTTCTTGTAACTTTTGGATCCATTCTGCATCCATCCTCTCATTCTTTTTCACTAATTGTACCACTTCATGTTTTCATCCTATATTCATCCAACTTTCTAATGCCATTCAATATGCTCAGGGTAGGTTTCCTTCTTGGCAGCTATACAGCTTGTGTTACTTTTTCATTCCACCATATATTTCTCATAATCCACTCTTGAATTCCACATACCTCTTTTGCTGTTTACAACATACTTCAAAATGTTTTCACATCCGTCTGCTCAACTGCCATCCCAACTTCTTAACCTATATTCATCACCTGTGTTGATCAGGTACAGTATTCTGTTTTCACACACTCCAGATCTATTCTTTTTCTGTTTATCCATCCATTCATTCATCAGTTGGACCCTCAAGATTACTAAATAATAATCTGAGCCACACTCAATATATTTTGATATATGAAATGCTCAGACCCATAGTTTGATTTTTTCATGTATACTGAATGAAGGATATCTGAATGTCTAATAATTTTCTACACACAGGTGTCTATACAGAACTCAACCAGCCTTTCATCATTCATTCAGTAAGCACCACCCAATTGTAGTGTTTGCTCAGATATCTCTCTATTCACATCATGCCAATCCCATGTATTGAATATCTCTTGCAACTTCTCCCAGAACTCATTCTTCTCATTTCTCATGCAAAGATAACAATCAGAATTATTCTTAGCATTTTCACAATGAGAGGCATTAAAGAGTATCTGAAAGACTGATTTTGTAAACGAGAGATTGTGAGTATGGTTTAATACTCACAATCTCTCATTTACAAAATCAGTCTTTCAGATACTCTTTAATGCCTCTCACAAACCAAAACAGCTATACCAGCATTGGCTCTTTCTCTAGTGCACTCCAGATTACCACCTTGCCTTTCATCTTTGTTCTGATACCAGTCCTGCTGCTTCAAAACCTTTAGGACTTCAATATTTTCTATAAGAGCGAGACAGAGGAACAATTTTACTTTTGGCTGTAGTTTGAAATTTTAATGAGCTCCTTTCCCTTCCAACTTACTTTCTGCCACAACAGGACATGCATCCCAAAAAGGCATTGTACCCTTGACAGAGTTTGCAAGATGCCAATATATAATTGTCACATTTAATATGGATTTTTATATTACTACATAGGAATGTATTGATAAAATATTGTACAAAGTTTAGAAATATTAGTTTAATTTTAAAATGAGTCACCACTCAAGTTTTGGTTGCAATTCAAGAACATCAGATGTAAAATAATTGCAACAATTAAAGAATTATTTTTTGATTACTGATTGTGTTATTACATCAACACCTAACAGTAAAACAACAGAAGTTCAATCAGTGCTTTCAATATGCCATTTATTAAATTTTATTAGAATTAATAGTAATGAATTTGCACTTTTATTCAAAATGTTATCCAGAATAAACTTAAGGATAAAATTTCATTCAAATGAATGGTTTTTGTTAAAATTGAGCATTAAAATGAAATAGCTCTATGGGAAACCCTGTGAACTTTGACTTGAAAGTATAGCCCAATATAAACAGCAATGTTATTAACAAGTGTCTCGTAATTTGGCACAGACATCTCTTATGGACTTAGTTATAAATTTATAAAAGTGGGAGTTGTGGATTCTAGTCCCTATTCTTTCCTTCCAGAATCATCTAATACAGTAGAACCTCGAAAACTCGGCTCTCGATAACCCGGCACTCCGGATAACTCGGCCACACCCTGGCAGGGCAAAAAAATCCTTAGTTAATTAATTTTCATTATAGACAGCTTTATAAAAGTATAAAACCTCTCATAAAGTATTTTTCTGAGGTCTGTCTTATCAGGTAAATTACTGTACACAGTGTATTCATTAATTTTCATTTTCATGTAGTAAAGGCTCTATGCCTTCATAAAGGACGTACTTTTCCTTTGTTTAAGGGTATTTGGGCAGTTTATTCTCTATTATATTCTCAAGTAAACAATACATACAAGTACAGTACAGTATTTTCTGAGGAAACACTCGTACTTATTTTTTTTTAACCCATTCCCGATAACCCGGCATTTTCACAAACTCGGCCACCCTTCGGTCCACATTAGGCCGAGTTTTCGAGGTTCTACTGTAATAAAATTTATTAAGGAAGCATCTAATGCCTATCTCTAGTCCAAAATTACTTTGGGCTTTGATTGTAATATAATCTGTCAATTGTTTGGCTTTGTTATTTTATTTCAACAAATTATCAGCTTCCAAACTAGATTTTACTTTGTGGGTTTTTATCTTTGGACTTGACTGAATTCTTAATTGGATAACAAACATTAAGTTAGTAAATATCTAAAACTGACATTTTCAATGGTTCATACTTACTTTAATCTACAAAACCATTACCTATACAAGAAAGTTTTTATCATTTTCAAAAATTTGTATATTATTTTTTGCATCAAATAATTTTTATCCAATGTAAATATACTTAGTTAATACAGTGGGTGACTGGTTAACTAATATTGTGCTTACTGTAGACCTGTTCAAGCCATACTGCATAGCAACATCAGATCTGCCCACTCTCTACCTTGGCTATTATCTCTTGCTCGGTTTCTACAGTGAGTACCACTCCACTCCAACAAGAAATTGATAATGATATGGAACCTAAAAAGTTCAGAAAAGCATTCACAAGCATTCAGAAAACAGAAATCAACTAGCACACATACAAATTATGTAGATGCGAGGACTGAATGAAATTTGAAAGTTTGATGTTAAAACATTAACTGTCTTACCAACCTTTAGAAAATAAAAATTGACACAAAACTTAAAGAGTGCCCGACAGTCTCGCAGACTAAAAAAATTATGCATCAGAAAGATAAACAAAAGGCTAGAATTACAATAGAAAGTTTCAAAGTTTGGAGGAATAATATCTGATCAGTATTGGGTTGAGTGTCTCCCATGTTCCAAAAGGTTTCAAATTGTTACCTGGAGACAAGAAAAACCAATCTGTATTCATTATTTTATGTCATTTCTTTTTCTTTTGTGATGTGTTTGTTATCTGATTTGTTTGCTGTCCAAACTTTGTTAACTGACCACCTACTGTACAGTGAAACTTAATTACTTAGTTACCAAATACAGGTACAGTATTAGGAAAGAAAACAATATGCATATTCAACTTTTTCATTCAATCAATCATATATATATTTGTACATATTAACCCAGGATTATAGTTATTTGTAGTCTTAAATTTTCAAACAGCAGGCAACTTGAAGTAAAACTGTTCAGGAGTTTTACTTGAAGTAAAACTGTTCAGGAGTTTTACTTCAAGTCACCTGCTGTTTGTGGTTCCTGGATTAGAATTTAAAATAATATAAATAGGAAAAAGGACTCATTATTTAGTCTTAAATTTTTAATATATATATATGTTACAGTCAAAACCCATTTTTAGTTAGAATGCATTTTAACTAGTTGAAACTAGTTTATACTGAATGTCTTTGTTAAAACTAAACTAGTTTTAACTCAAATTCATTTTTGACTAGCAGTAAATTCTAATTTTAACTAGACAAAACGGGTTTTAACAAAGACATCCAGTATAAACTAGTTAAAACGCATCCTAACTAAAAACTGGTTTGACTGCAACGCATAGTGATTCGGGGTAAGATGCCTAATTTTTGATATTTTCAAACGATGACGTCACATATTGTCATGTATTTGTATGATGGATTGTTGGGCCAATATTGAGTGCGGAAAACTATAGTTGGCTACTGTTACTTTATTTTCTACGTCCGAGAAGAATAAAAGCTAGATAAGAACGAAGTTTTTGTTGTGAAATGTTTCTAGAATAATTTTAAACTAAAAGTTAAAATGGAATTTATTAAAAGTTGCTAAAAACAACGAATGTGTGATGTAGTTAAGGTTCTAATGTTTCCATTGTCAGCTACCGTTGATTCCGATCAGACATGCTGGAGCACGTGACTCTACTAGGCATCTTACTCCAACAAATGGAAAATATGCCACATCTTTCTTGGGGTAACGTGCCTATTTTGTTAATTGATTTCCAATATGCCTATTTTTAATAAACTTTTGTTTTCTCGTTTTATTGTAGGATATGCGCAGAAATTATATAAGGACTTCTCAAAAAAGTTTTTGGACTGAAAAAAGCTTTCAGCCAGATATAGAACACATTAGAACGGGCAGAAACTTAACAATACTTATACTGTGCTGTTATACTTACTATGAGGTACTTTGTACTATATATGCAATAAATTAAATTTGGTTAAGAAATTCAAAAATTGCTTTTATGCAGTTATATTTGTTATCTTACCCTAATGGCATTTGGCATCTCACCCAGATACTTGGGGTGAGATGCTTAAAATGCCAGACAGTGAAAAAGTCGTCATTGCAAACACAGTATAGAATTTTTTAAAATAAACTCCAAACTTTTATTTGAAAGACATACTCCAGAATATGATATTTTCATTAGAGGGCTCCTAAACTCAAATTAGCGCTGTAATTTTCTTCATAAGCAAAATGTTAGGCATCTTCCGCC